TTTTGCTACAGATTAGGAATCGTTGTCAAAATAGGTATATCACTCCTTGCTTGTGGAGGTATAGCAAGCCATGTTTAGATGCTAGCGATGTAGCACTTGTATGATTTAAGGAGGCACGCCAAGGCGTGCCTCATGACGATCTTCGATTATCTATTAGTCATCATTAGCTATGATACCACCACGTGACATGATCTCCTTCGCCTAAGTCCTGGCCAAACCTTCTTTCAACAACCTCCTGTACAGCCTCAACTTCTGTACACGTATCCCAAGTTCACACCCCCTTCTAACACCACCCCTGTGCGCATGCAACAAGTTGTAAATCTAGATACAGTCACCGCATGTCAGAATACTGTTCGATTGTAATCAAAAGGAAAAAGGGTTGATTTGGCAACTGCTGGTCAATGGTTGAGCGTTGTTTTGGCTTCTGTTTCATGCTACAGCTCTGACTCGAGTAGCCGCCCTACTAGGACGGCCGATGGAAAATCTACAGCAGCCAGGTTCTCTTACCTTCAACGATCCATAAGCCTAGACTTTAGGAAATGGGTCGTCAAATCAGGCTTGGTGGAACGGCGAGGTTGGCGAGAGCAAGAAACACAGATCCTGACCCATGAAGTGCATAGTGGCATCTTCTAGATTCCTCAAATGGATCCAAGCTTTGAAATATCCTATATAGGCAATGCCTGAACCCTGCAGTGCTCTGTAACCTTTGCACCTAAGATCTTCGTCATTCAGAACCAAAATCTTAATCGATTGGGACAGAGCCATCAGATGAGATAGGATTACCCTTGTTGTGTAAAACACAATCATAAAGATCACATCCTCGAAACCCTCCTTTGCAAGATTCAACCATACGGATGAGAAGCGCTTTCCCTCGCTCAATAGATCAGTAGAATAAGCTTCGCCCTCTGGGTTTGTTCAAACGATTACGCCTCCACTTCCGTCCAACGTACCCTGCTCCACAGGAAAGAGTCTCGTTATATATCATATCCCATCAAGTCTGGCAAGTTCAATCGCTTACTTTATGATTCATGCATTAAAACAATTCAACCTCTTCAAACGGTCATCCCCCACTTACCCAATCGCAACTCTACCAATTTCCAACAACAGCCTCTCCATTTCTACCAGCAAAAAACTGGGAGCACGATGGTGAACACCGGAAAACCCTCAAAGGGATGTTATATGTGTCGATCTCGGCGGATCAAGGTAATTTATTGCCCAGAAGAAGTTGTCGACCAGATTCCAACAAAGTTTCTTGGTGGCTAGCGTCTTAAATAGTCATATACTGATCGTGAACAGTGCGATGAGGGCAAACCAAGTTGTATGCGATGTCAAAAGTCGAAGAGAGTATGCCCAGGTTATCGGGATGCGTTCGAGCTCAACCTTCGCGATGAGACCAAATCGACAAAGAAGAAAATGTCCCGGATGATGAACCACCGATCTTTTGTAGATGGTGTCACTACCCAATTTGATTCTCAACATGAATTAATTAATTCTCCGGAGGCTCTTCTATTGACAGCCCCCATCACATCTGCGAATTTAAACATATACGACACTTTTGTTCCACCCTGGAGCAGCTTTACAACTAATGGTCATTCTCCCAGGAGCTCTATAAGTAGCAATTCATCAGGGGATGTCTCCACAAGCAATACCTCAATTTCGTCACAAAGCATGATCCTTCATTCTCGATGCCTATCGCGACATTTATCAACTCCAATTGATCAACAAGCGGCGTGCTTCTTCCTCTCCAACTTTGTCCTCCTTCCAGAACAAGGAGTTCTGAGGGGTTATCTAGAATTCATGATACCACATCTCACAGATGAACGACCAAATCCAGCGTTTCTTTCAGCGTTCTCCGCCGTGGCGCTCGCTGCCCTAGGGACACGACCGAACTCCAAAGCTTTACTTCCGAAAGCAGATATAACTTACGTGAAAGCATTGAAAAAGATCAATACAACACTGAGGGATCCAAAGATGGCATCAGAAGATTCAACACTGACAGCAGTTTTGCTCCTCTCTTTCTTCGAGGTAGGTAACGGCTGAAATTACATAATATTGGCGGGGCTCTTCTGATTTAAATCTAGCAATTAACTGCACCGCGTCTAAACCCCGAAGCATGGAGCTCACATGTGGATGGGGCAGTGGCGCTTCTCAAGGCGCGAGGGCCAGATGCGTTTCAATCCAACACAGGACGAGAAGTTTGGAATACAGTTCGGGCAATGATGGTTCGTAGAATTTAATTCTAGGTCTACGAATCCTAGAGACTAACTTAACGTAGGCTATCCAATGTATTGCCAACTCGAGAAAAGTAGATCTTGGCGTCGAATGGTGGATGAGTGTCCCAGCCAAGGACGATCTTTCTCAGCAATTCGCGAGTCTTAACATCAGAGTGGCAGATCTGAGATGGGATACTGATAACGCTACGGTTCTTCCTCACGCCCTGGAGAATTACGAAGAAGTGTTGAGAATCCTTCGACGCGCCGAAGATTTGGAGAGGGAGTATGTCGAGTGGTTCAACAAGTTGAAGGGGAATTGGGAGTGCAAATCCGTGGCTTGGATTAATAGTACCGATGTCATGGATCTCACCACTTCCCTTGTCCATCCCGGAAGAGTTGACTCGTACTCGGAGATGTGGATGGTATATCACCACAACATTGGCCGATCCTCACGGCTCTTCATCTGGGTGACCATCCTACGTTGTGTCGCTTGGTTGTGCGATAGTCGCGATTACAGGCTGACCCCTGAGTACACCAAGGCGCAAACCGTGTGTCGACAACTGATCGAAGACACTGTTGCAAGCGTGCCATATATTTTCGGCTGGAATAAAGAGACGGACCCACTCATGGCCGACAACTCCTCATTCGCTTGTGGGATGAATGATACAACAACGGTCAAGTCCTTGTGGGGAATTTTTGTAATGTGGCCTCTGTTTGCGGCGGCTACATCAGATTTCGTGCTACCCTCTCAAGAGACATTTTTGAGAGCAAGGCTTACATATATTTCCGAAACTCTTGGTATCTACCAAGCAAGTGTGCTTCTCAAAGTAAGTATTTACGTGTAGATGTATGAAATATTGCTAACATAATTAGGCAACAATCCGAGTACCTTCACTTTATATCGATCGTGCTAAAATGAGCATGAACATTCATACATGCCGTGAAAAAGGAGCGGAAGGACTTGAATTCCTGGCCGGTTCTCCAAAGACAAAACACAAGTCTCGCCCATCTCTTTCGGATACGTCAGCAAGCCCAACATCCAATGTCAAGAGTACGAGTCCGGTATACTTTACGACTCCTGAAAAGGAGCCCTACTATACAGATCATCTAAATATGAACCCATTCATATTTTCAGAGGATGTAGGGTTCGCTTCGGATAGAATCCACGAATTTATGAGCTTCACAGCAGTTTGACCTGGGATTTGATGTGGTATGGGCTGGAATTGACAGCACAGCCCCACATGCAGTGACTTCATCTCTCCTGTTTTATCGCGGATTGGATTTACAGGTTTTGTGACAGCCATTAGTTTGTGGATAAGGCCGCTGGACGACCATTCTTTAACCTTTAAGGGAGCGGGCGTGGGCGCGGTTTGGTTAGATCGATCACCTGTGCTTGTCAAGTTGATTTTATTTTCACGACTTCATGAATCAGGGTTTGTATTTTATTGCCTTATTGAAGAACCTAAACATATTTATACTGGTTTTATGCTAGTACAATTTCCATATCTTGCGATCTTTTTTTCCTCGATACCCTCGACAATGTGTGGACTAAGAACTACACCAAAAAGAATAAAAGAGACTTTCTTTTCTCGTTGAGCCATTGAGCCATTGAGCCATTGAAATATCAAATTATATTACTTAGGAATTCCTACGGAGACTTCTCTTGAAAACTCTCGCAAAATATTCATTATATATTCAACAACTTCATCTGATTTCAGAATTTCCCAGTTTCTCAGATGAAAATAAGACATCACCAATCCCATAGAAATCTACTAAACATGAAGTAGATTCTGCCTGCTCTTAAGTTTGAACCGGAGTCATTTCCTCTCAAGCCCTAAGTCAAACCCCCGATTTGCCTCAGCTCACACGGGCTTGTCCAAGTTCTTTCAGTCCTGGAAGGTTATGCCTCCTGGCAGGCTTTCAGTCCAATACCAACCTATCGTATACCCCATAGTTCTTAGATTCGCTGTGAACCAGCCGTTTTATGTCATACCCCGCCATCAATTTGCTTTTCTCGGTAACTGATTTCTTGGGATTGGCTGGCACACCTGTCAAACTGTCAAACGTGTTTCTTGACAGGCGCTTTGACAAGTATCATCGTCACTCCGTTGGTGGGTATCCTATGGTTTTTATTTACTCTTCTCCCTGTCGCCCTTCAAAATGGTTACATTCCAGTTTCATTCCTGTGATTTGGGGTCGTAATTTTAGGACCTTACGTGGAATCCTCTTTTCAATATAACTTCACTCATATCTCCACAATTCTACATCGATACATAAATCTTCTGCTCTTCACATAGCAATATCTAATGACAGCATCTTTTTATTGAATATCTCAAGGGCTACTTCTGATAGGTCTTCAAGCCCACCGTATGAAGACTGGCCTCACCACGAACTTTTCAAATACAACCAACCCATGTCTTTTCTCCAAAATCGAGTAAAGCTGGACCAAAAGTTGCATTTCTAAATACCAGATATATTTTACAACATTCCCAAACTAACTTGTTCCTACTAGCACGCTATCCCATCCACATCTGCTCCTCACTTACTACAGTCAACTCGTCCCCCACCACCCCGCTTAATCTCGCTTACAAAATATTGACTCACTCAGTGCCAAAAAATATTACAATCCATACACACAGTTGAGAAAAAACAATCACTCCAAAATATCTAATCTTCCTCAAGTCTAAAATTCTAGCGGGGGTGGGATGGAAGACAATTGTAAAAATATAAGCCAAGTGTCTGAGTAATAATCTCAGGAAAGGGTTGATCATAACATTCATTTCTGAATGGTCAATATGGGGGTCGAACCCATGGCCTTGGCGTTATCATTTGGAGATATTAGCACCACGCTCTAACCAACTGAGCTAATCGACCAGCTGTGTTGTTGTTGTTAAGGAGACTTTCTTATTTGAATTTATAAAGGGATTTGTGGGAATGGCAAAATACTGGAGAAGGAGGTGAAAAATAGTGGGGACTTTTTCTCGCTAGACTGGGGTGGTTTGTTACTTTGTGATTCACCACGTTTCTCAAGCATGTCCAAGTCGTACTATTCAACACCTAGGTCATATGACAGCCTCTGGGGTTTATTACACATTGAAGCTTGCAAAAACGAAAATTGTTTGAGCAAAATTGTCCGATTGTTTGCAGCACTACTCTCGTTACTTGAACTATATAATTCTAACTTCGGAAATAAGTCTGCCAAAACTTTCAAACTACTCAGTTTACTGTTAGTTCAGGAAGAGACTATCTTCTCATATGGTGGTTCAAAATATGGTTCCCACAGTTGGAATGCTTTAATAATAAATTTATTCATCTCACAGCCTCGATAATACAATTATCCAATTTAGCACCCCACAACTCCAAAGCCACCAAACGCCTAACCCCAAAGCCCCCAACAAGCCCCATAACCCCCCGATGCTCTTCATAGTCCCCCGTCTTAGCAAATGCATAATGATGTTCCACACTTTCAAACCCACTAAATAACACAAACTCCTGCCTCTCCTTCCCTCCTTCCAACCATTTCTCTTGCTCAATCCTCCATCCTCCGAGAACTTAATAAGGATTAGTGTAGTTTACTAGGCGGTACTTGATCTTGGAGAACCTTGTCAGGAAGGAGTTCTCGGAGGAAGAGAAGAGGGTGATGAAGTGTCGACCCAGAGAGATGGTTGAACTAGTGATGACGGCTTTTTTAGAAGTAGGGATGGAGAAAATGTCAATGTCTAAGTGATACATGACAATTCCTTCAATTAATACATCGTCTTTTAGAAGATCTAAGAGCTCTTTGTTTTCTTTTGAAGGAAGGAAGGTCTTGTGAGCAGAAACCGAATCCCATGCTCGAGAATGTAGAGGTTGGAGGGGTCCTCGACTTGTTAGAAGAAGTAGAAATTATGTTTAGATACAGTCTGGAGGATTTGCTGGGCTTTGCGGAGTTTCTGGTCGAGAGTTGTGGGCAGCGGTTTCTCGAGGGAGAGGGTTTCCGGTGAGTAGAAGGTGGGACTGAGAGGGAGGATGGCGAGTTAGATGACAGTCATTTAGTTAAAGAAAGTTATTTTTGTGATATTAGTGGAGGGTATATGTGGTCTTTGGATGTAGTAAGATGTTTAAAAGGACCTATCCGGGTGTTGCTTATAGATCTTCGAGTCAGCCAATCCACACGGACTGCTAGAAGCCGAAAACGCTATCTCATAAAGGCCAGGTAGGAAGACTTACGTCAAATCGGCTGAAGCCAGTTTCTTAGGAAGTCGCGGCTCTTGCCTAAAGCTAATATTCCAGCAAGACCTAGAACTTGTATCTGTATATGTCCCTAAGCTCATCTCATCAATTGTCACATCAGAATTGAACAAAACAATTGTGCTGTGTCTTGGGTAGCTCATCAATTGGTACTTTGCTATCTCATTACAGTTTAGCAGTTCCATATGTGCCAAATGTCATGGTATGCCAGACGCCTTTTAGCAATTCGTTCAATGCCATGCATAATCCCCTCGATCATCCCGCGCGAAACATTCCTAAACTTATGCTGTTCGCTTTCCCTTAGCGTTCTTCTTTGGGGTGTCGCCGATGGTAAGGTCTAGAAGGAGCATGACATCAGCGAAATATTCTCCCTATGCTTTGTCTATTTCGTATATGCTCTGTAATTCTGAAACAGCTCTCGAGTGGTGATGATTCAAAGTATAGACGTACTGGGTGGTAATGATTGCTTGAGCTTCTCGACCTTCTCGGAATCCTTCAAGACAAGTGTGTACAAGTGTCTCTGGCATCTGACCTTGAACTTGACGGTCGATGACTTCTTGTTGCGCTTTATACGGGCAGCTGTGGTTCCTTGGTCAGCGCATAGCCTTTTCCATATCCTCTCTTCTCCATGCATCAATTGTCCCTCTTGTCCTCCTTTTCCGATCGTCTGAAACCAAAGCTGACCCCTTATTAAAATAGAAACGTACAGGAGGCATCCTTGCGTCTGCAAATCTCAATAAACTGTATGCGTACTCATTAGCATAATATTCCATCCGTATTTCCAATTCCATGAATTCCCCTAGTTCTCGGCCATTCCTTTCCACCTTCCAAAGTCTAGATCTGGATAAACTCACGTTCTTGATGTCTGAAATTTCACGAGGCATTTTGGCGGTATTTTTGGCAAAGAATTGGTGTTGACTCGAGATTGGCGCGTGGGTTGTGATATTGGAGTTGAACCTCGAAATTTCCGTTGTGGGAGTTAGGTAAGCAAGTTCGGTTGTGATAGTGGAGGGCTGGTTTGCGATAAAAGAGGTAAATGCCAAGATGTGGCGCAGTCACATGTGAGGCTGGTTGACGCGGACTTTCCAGGCACGAACTTAATATTTAAAGACAGGAAAGGTGTTCTGTTCTGTGAGGTGACTTTTATATATATTTGAGTCCTGCATTACTTCATGACCTATTACTTCTTGGAGAACTCTCAACATTCAAAGAGGATGAAGTTGTAAATACAGCTCAGCTTAACAATCACTCATCACTTTCATTGGCTACTTAAAAGCATTAAAATGCCAACTCCACTTGACAGAGCTCTAAATCAAAAGGTTAATATAGATAATTTCCCCTCTATTTGTAGAAACCCCAGCTAATGCATCGTAGAATCTCTTCCTTGGTACATAGATTTTACTCTCGCTACCCACCAGAAGTTCCAATCTGCAAAATACTAATAGTCAGAAAGCTTTCACAGGTGTCATCACAGCCGCCGCAGCTTGGTCAATATGGGGCCAAGATATGTTTCCAAAAGAAAGCGATCCCAAAGGTGGTAAGTGACCCCTCTCCCCTCACCCCTTTTGGGCTCGCTTGTGTAACTCAACTGAATCTGTCAAGATCCAGAAACTTGGACTCAGGAAGAAATGAGGAGATGGTTAGCTGCTGTGAGTTGAACTTACATACCTTTCCTTCTTGCTGCATGAAAGATGAGCAGGTACATTCTCTATAACTTGATCGTCCAGAGAATCTTGACCAAGTGTACGGCATGTTATATCATGGTTCTGTATGTCAGTTATTAAACTGAAGCAAGCCTTGCACTTTCCTGCTGGCATAATAATTTTTCTATTGTGAAACATTAAGGGATTTAAGGCTGACGTTGATGATCCAGAGAAACCTCTATCCAAACTCAAAAGACACGAAGGGGGAGCTCCTTGAAAGAGTAAAGGCAAACATGCGGACTCCTAGGGCTTAAACTATTTCATGAATTTGACCACAAGGCCAATTTGCAGATTAAAATGGAATTTTGGAGTTTGAGTGTGATTTTTGGTACCACGGGGTAGGTATCATTTGCATTCCTAGGCTCACAATTCAATTTATATTCTGATAAACCTCGGGATCCCTCACAACGAGACTGAAAGAAATATTCTGAGCCGGATATTGGGGGACATTCGCTAAACCTTATAGTAATTATCTAGAACTACTTTTACCCACCCCATGGAATATGTGACATTTCTCATAGGTAATTTATTGGACTGTCTATCACGACTGAGTAATAAACCTGCGTTTCTTAGAAGAATGCTCCGATCTCTGGATCTTGAGTTGTGTGCGCCACTCACGCCCTCCCAATCTGCCATCAATCAAGGAACCCCCACAAATTCCAGGGGCACATTATGAAAATATTGGTCTCCCCATACTTCCACCGCTCCCAAATAACACGCCACGCTCATGATGTTAAGTAGAGAAACGCATGGATTTCAATATACTGCTTTAACACCAGCTCCTTTTCATAATACTTTCGGTCTAACGGGGAGGCCCAAGCACCGGATCAAATAGACAGCTCACCACCATAGATAGCCTTGATCTTAGCCTATAATAATTAATATCAGCTTGTAGATTTTAAATAAAGGAGAGCACGGAATGCGTACTTGACACTCGTCATTCTCTTGTTCCAAGGTGGTAGCCTCTTCTTCCAACAGTCGAACCTTGATCAAATAATTAGCGTGCTATCAAGTCACCAGCCTGGTGTTTGGACTTACTTTCTCACGCTCGGCAGCAAAAGTCTCAGCGACTCTAGCCTCTTTCTCAAGCTCTTCTCTCTTCCTCCGGGCCGCAGCAATACGAGCCTGTGCATCAGCAGCTCGCTGAGCAATGTCGCAATTCTTCAGACTTGGAGAAGTCGATAATTTTCTAGGTGTATTATAGTTGATATCTAACTTGCGCTTCTCCGGAGTCAATAGGGGGCTTAAAACAAAGGGATCAAAAATTCGATTATTGGTAGTAGAAGTGAATGCCGACTTGGTCGAAGCAGTAAAGCGGACGGATTTGCTAGCCTTCGTAGGTGTTCCTTCTTGGGGACTTCTACTATCTAGGGTCATGAGAGCTGAGCATGCTGAAGACGCGCTGCTCTTTTGCTTTGACTGTTCTGGGGTCATGAGTTGAGTACATGTTAGATTGTTAGACAGCCTTCGAGGTGAACTCCTGAGGTCAGTGCCTTGTGTCATAGACGCGAATGGTGGAGTAGAATCGAACGGCGGAGAAATGACCGAGTTCTGAGGTCTAGCGGATGGGAGTAAAGTTCGACAACTCGTAGAGTTCAAGTAGCGATTAGAAGTAGTATGCGCTATGCTGAGATCCAACCCAATGACCGAATTCTGCTCACCATCAAGATTTTCGATGCTGGATGGCAAAGAGAAGGTAGTGAAGGTGATGGGACTAGTACAGCCGCCAGCTGTCTCAGGTGTTCCTGGGACCTCTTCTGGTGTGAGAGGCATTTCCACAACGACTTCTGTAGGGGCATCGGATGAGGTAGATCTTGTGAACATAGGGGTACTTTGTTCGGTTAAGCTCTCTCGCACTTGCCCTACTATCATATTCTCGTCGTTTCGAACCTTTGACTCCTCCACCTCAACTCTCTCCTGCGTGGTATTGCATGACTGTGT